TGATGAAGCCAGCGAACTTACGAATTTTAAAACGGATGATTTAGCAAATTATCTGCAATTGTCATAACCCACGATTCTCATTACCACTACTGAAAGACGTATTGGTTTTGCTAACTTAACTATTTGTCCGTAGCTACGAAGACAAAGATGTTGTGGTCTCTACTTTGGTCGCAGTCTCCTTTTGATGTATAATCATTGTTTAATCTTGTTTTATCATCTTGGTCATATTGGCATGACGACCTAGCAAAAACCACCTTTTCCGAAGTCTATAGTATACAAGATAATTTCCAGAGTTGGACCGTTGACTTGATACATTCCCAGATACATCCCAGTAAGATTTTATATTGTTAACACCAAACTACGACTATTGGTCAAAAGATCGACTTTACTCGTTTGTAGTGTATAGCAAGGTTCATTGAAGATGCTGAATTTGATGCCGGTGAAACGTCTGGGAACTTAGCAAGTCCACGATCCAACTCTGACATGTATCATGCGTATTATGGACTCCGGACAAAGTGCCTTCCTCTAGCTCTTCCTGCCACTATGACCAAGTTGTGAAAATAAAGTAAAAAAACTACTTAAATATTTGTACTTTGTAACTTTATTAACGTTCGGACGGTAAGAGTGCATACGAATTTCAACTGCTAACTTTAGTCAGCTTAGCTCTCATGACATGACTGTCATCTGATTTTAGGTTTGATATTAGGATTTTCAAAAATTCTCATTTGTTGAAATTGTTTCACCCTGCCTTCGCAACTTGGTCGTGTTTTCAGTGAAACATAAACGGATGCATTTTGTCCGTAGTTCTCTGCCAAAGTTGCCATGATAATTTCCGGTATCTGATCTTGCACTTGGTACATCTACAGACGTTTTTTCGGCATCGCAGTTACCATCGTCAGTGAGCCTCGCAGTCAAAGCGATAAGTGAAGTGAAGTTGTAGTTTAGTGTTAAAAAAGCAAGGCTCACTGAAGCTCCGGATGAAACGTCTCGGAATGTACCTAGTCAATGGTCCAACCCGGGAAATTGTCATGATCACTTTGCAAGTAGACTTTGGACAAGGTGCATTCAACTCGGTCGTCCTGACAACACGACCAAATTTTGAAAGAGAGGTCAAACCATTTCTATAGAGCGAAGGAAGATCATGCGACTTTATTCTCAATGAATCAAAATTACTTCAGTCATTATCAGAGCTGGAACTCATTCTTGCAAAAGTCCCAAGTTAACACTGGATAAATAAGACTTATAGTGTTAACTTTAGACTTTTGCAAGAATGACTTCCAGTTCTGATAATGTCTGTTGTATGCTGGACGAAAGATTAGCTCGGTTTCACTAGAAACTGTTGTCAAGGTTTGTATTTCTTGCACTTTAAAAGCAAAATTTATTGAGAAAAACAAAAATCGATCTCAAGAAAATTTGTTAGCTTGATTTTGGTTGTAAGGATGATATCTTGCTCTGATGATGCTCGTCATATGACGGACGAAAGCTTAGCACATTTGCACCGGAATCGTAGGAGATAATCTAGGAAACAGCCAATCGACAACTGATCAAAAAGAATCTGCCATCATCCTCTGGTGGGATGGACCTTCGAATCTTTTCACCAAACACTCACTACAAAAGGAAGTAAGCTCAACATTTATGAAACAAGAGATTCTTCGAAACCCAACTTTTATTCGCATATAAATCGGAAAGTTATCTAAGCATTCCTCACGATGAGGCCAAACGACAAAAGAGTCATTTATGTATCTAACCGACAATTTGGGGTCTAGTAATGCCTCCTCAAAAAGAGGCCTACATGTAAATTTGTTGCCAGCCCCGCTTTGTCGAATGGGACTGCAAGTCTCTTGAACACAAAAGAGACCACATAAAGGCATTATCTTATAACAACCTGATCTCGATAATGGGTCAAATGGATCCTTTTCCAGCTTGGGAGCATTCAAGATTTATGTCCACTCGATGCATACAACAAGTTGGATTCTTGCATTTACCCTTTGACCTTTCTACTCCACCCTCCTTTAACTATGAATACCGCTAATCGACTTCAAAGCGACTCCTAAAGTCTCTGAACGGCAGATCAGGGCCAGGCGTCGAATTGGAAGTCATGCACTCGCCGTCGGGTCTGGAGGCGCCTGGTGTGCGGATCTCATCCATGCCACAAGGTTTCACTAGAGAGACTCTCCGTTCGACCGAATCCGAGTCCGCTGGTGCTGATGGTGAGTCAGAGAGCTTCAGATGCCCAATCGTCTTCTCGACGAAACTGGTCAATCGGCAGTCGAGTCCCGGCAGATCAGGTCCCATCTGCCCGAGGTCGATTACATTTTGTCAGACCACTTCTCCGGACGACATCAGCCCCTCTCCGGGCCTCGAAGAAGGCCAGTCAGTCCAAGGCAGCCACATTTCTCCCATCCTACAGTTACCGGGAGACTCGCCTCAGGCTCTGGTGTCTGATGCGTCATTGCTGCTGTTGCCATCGTTACCACCTTCCGTTGCAGCGAGAGAGCCTGTTGCCTCAGCTACCAGTGGCCTCATCTTGATGAGTCCAGCCACTGAGGCCACCTCCTGTCAAAGCCTGGTCTCATCGGGGGACTCGGATTCGGGCAGATTTAACTCCTCCACCCCCCTCACCTTCAGCCTCACATCGACGTCTGTGGCTTCTATCCTCTCATCCTCAACCCCACTCTCTGCTTGCTCTTCTTCCTCCTCTTCATCATCTTCTTCTTCCTCTTCTTCGTCTTCGTCATCCTTCACCAGCGCTTCGATCGCACTGACTGATCGAGTTCGGGACTCCAACTGCTTCACTTCGGGTGATAGAAGGTCGGGCCATGAAAACGAAGCTGACTATCTTCAGAAGGTTCCGCCGCAGCACGAGATAGGCTATCTCGAAAAAGAGGTAGGGCTCAAACCGAATGGCGAAGGGTTCGAAAATATGCAAAGTCAGTCGATTGCAAGGGGATTCAACTTGGAGAAGCCAGAAGCTTCTGTCCCTCAAGCCTGGCCTCGAACGAGGGACATCGAAGCAATCAAAGAGGAAGGAAGAGGCTCACAACTGGCTCGCTCAGCCAGCGTCTCTTTTCCAACCACATCGTTGTCTTCTCCTTCTTCTTCTTCTTCTTCTTCTTCTTCTTCTTCTTCTTCCACATCTTCTTCGTCGTTTTTGTCTGGTACCGCTGCCAAACGACTTATGGAGCCGAGTGGTGAGCTGCAAAAATCTCTTGACAGACAGTCTACAACTGGACCCATATGGAGCCCATTTGTGAGAGGCTGCCACACTGATGAATTCAACTGGAACAGATCACATCTGGATGTCGCCCCCGTAGAAAGGGTGAGTTTACGAAAGCCTCGAAGAGAAGACGAGCCGTTCATTCACTCTAATAATCTTGTTGATATATAAAAAAAAGCTGGCTTTCGAACAGTCTTCATCACATGGCAATCCTGCCTCGGTTTCTGGTGAGACCAATTCACGAAGTTCTGTCAAGCCATCTTTCCCTCAAAATTAAAAGTCGACTCACAATCGCTTCAGCAAACCAGTATAGAACAATATTGTATTGACCCTTGGTCACATGGAATAGGTTTCTTGCTTCCCCTTAATTTCGCATATTCCTGGCCCAAAAGGTTGTGGTTTTATATTGCCTGAAAATTAATAATTGCTAATTGGCAGCGTAGAAAAACCAAGTTCAGCATTTTGCTTGCAAAATAGAACACTACTTTATACCAACAACCGTCATCCCTTGGCTGTTTGAGTGCAATAACCAATGAGTATGTGAGTCGTATGCAGCCGATATATGAAGAGAAACTACGTTTTGAAGCATCCTTTACTACATTGAAGCTGGCTTAACTTTCATTTCGCTTGAAAAAGCTGGTGAATGAGATTCGTAAATTGGCTGCCAATTTGTGATTACTAGATTGTGGAAAGAAGACCTCGGCTCACTGTCATGTGAGCCCAATGACTACGTTCGTCATGTAACGGACATCGTCTGAGCCAGAAACCAATATTTACGTATGTAAGTATAGTTTCGAGACCGCAAGTAAATAAGTAATATGAGATGTATTCACCCTATTTTGTCAATCGGCAGATGCGACTTTCGAGGCTTTTGCGAATTTATAAAAAAGCTGGATTTCCAAGACGCCCTTAGCGAATTAGGGTGAATCAACTGTTCATTTTGAAGGAAAAGTTGATTAGAGAAAATTAGTGAATTGGTCTTATCAGAAACCGAAAGCGGATTGCAGCCTTGCAACAAAGACTGTTGGCTTCTGTGAAGAAGAATTTGGCTCGCCGTCTTACCAACTTGCTGAATCCGAGCTAAGCTCAAGTCTGTACTGATGCTTCAGACAGCATACATCATCAGAGCAAGAATGCATCATTGAGAAAGAAAGCATCCTATACACTGAAATCGAATATAAAGTGTTTCTACGACAATGGCTATGAGGCGAGGAAAACGAACTATTGGCATGACTTCATCAAATTCGTATGACGAGGACTTTGACAAATTCGTCAGCCTTTATTTCACAACAATCAATCCTTATTCCGTTTCCAGTGAGGCTAATTCATAAATTCCTCCCAACCAACATTTCATTGGAATCAAAAGTCGAGTCACCCTGAAGCATGTATTTGCTAAAAATGTGTTATTTTTTCATTTTAACTGATGCAAACAAGTATTTGGGTTTCATTTTGGCTGAAAGCAGGCCTAATCTTTATACGTTTTTGATCGTACCCTCGGCACTCCCAACGGGATTCGAAACCTGGACTTGTGCTTAAGTTGGCGGTGCACTCCTACTTCACAATACAGTCAAGATTGTCAATTTACCAATAGGCAGATGGGACTTGGAAGACAATATGGCAAAAAGCAGGGTTTCGAAGACTCCCTCATTGAATAAGGGTGATTCGACAAATTATTTCGAAGAAAAAGTGGGTTGAACATAATTCGTGAATTGGTCTCACAGGAAACTAAAAGAGGAAGTAAAGTCGGTTGGATTGAGCCTAAAGGTCATCAGCTCACTGTTTTCTGTCTTTCCGATGAGCCTATACTACACTTTCGTTTGTCATGTGGCGGACAAACTTAGAACGATAATTTGTACTTGAAAAAAAGCTCATCGCCAATAATTCTTGTGAATTAACAGAGTTTTTCGGTTCTTCGTAAAGTAAACTTGCTTGCTCTGAGGATGTCAGCTATATGTCGAAGAAGAATTTAGCATGAGTTTATCAGTGTCGTTAGACGATGAGACGTTGACTTGTTGGTACATTTAAACAGTTTACGGTCCACAACAATCCTTCCTTTTCCGATGAGATCAATTCACGAATTATTTTTAATCAACTTTTCGTTCAAAATGGAAATCCGGGCTACATCAAATTCGAGTATAACTTATTTATCACCTTATGTGACCTTACAAAAATGCGGAATTCTCGTTATTTCATTCTTGATCACTTTTGTTTCATATCCACGGTCAGCTGCACAACGGCCCCGCTTTGTCCGTGAGTCTAGACCGAGAAGTCCTTTGTGCTCATGTCGATTCAACGGAAGCTTCCGAGGTGGGCTTCTTTTGCCCGGGACTGACAAAAGTCTGTGATCAGGCGTTTGGTAGTCATAGAAACGGCAACCGCAAAGGCAAAAGTGACGGCGAGACTGAGACCGAGACGAAAGACGAGGCTGAGACAGGAGAACATGCAGGACGAGCAGATGCTGATGGCGGCCGAGCAGTTAGAAAGCCATCCTCCTGTTATGCCGGCCTGCCTCTCTTTGAACCCACTATTCCGGAGGCTAGAGGGTATCTACCAGAGGCATCTTGTCGCCTACCCGAGTCCCATCAGTCCTTTCACTTGTATGCCCACCCTCCGCCCCACCGACCCCAACAGCCCCACCCACACCACCACCACCATCATCAGTATCAGCAGCAGCAGCAGCAACAGCAACAGAGATCAGCATCTCGTCTGTACCAAACGTATGCAGACATGTCACCCGATCAAACGCTTCTGTTGGGCACCGGAGACACGGCAGCCGGTCAGTCGGCCTCGGTACCGCCTCGCTCGCGATGTGCTCACTTCACGCCGGCTTACTTCACCTTGTACCCCCAATCGGCACCTCCGGTTAGCCAACAACCTCCATACAATCAACCACAATCCCATCCATTTTCGCATCATTCTCCACCTTCGCACAATCACCTGGCTCATCAGCATCAGCATCAGCCTCACCAGCATCAGCATCCACACACTCCTCCTCATCCACTTCCCGACCAATCACAGCATCAGCTACAGGACCGCCAAGCCTTCTACGCACCGACTGTGTATCCGGGAGGCCAGGAGCTACATCCAACATTTCATCCGGCCACTGGCTGCGAAATGGGTTGCCTACCGGGCGGCTCGAGTCTCCAACGGCCGTCTGGTCAGCCTCGCCCACTCCAACCCTCGCAGCTGTTACATACTCACTATCAGCCTACTTGTGCCGCCGCCTCCACATTTGCATCACAACCTGACTCGACTCGTCTGCCCCACCAACACGGTCCTACCCTTTCTGGTTGCCATGCCACCAGCCTCCCCAAGACTCTGTTGACCTCGTCTCAGCCGGACTCGCAGCAACGACCTACACAAGATCATCAACTACGTCCGACGCTCGTCGGTCTCGGCAATTCTGCTCGACTGGCCGGCTCGCCAACCTCTCCCGATCCCGAAACTAGCCACGGAAACCCATTACAGCCGGCATTTTGTCGTCCTCACGATACGCCTCCTCCTCCGCTACAACTCCACAATCTGCTCATTCATACCTACACACAATCGCTAGACTTGATCAACAACCACACCAGTACCATCCAAGACCTGGCAACTACGGACCATGAGAACACAACTCTCACCAGCGCCTCTTCCACCACCAAAACCTGCGGCAATCCGATGCGAGAAGACGTCTCGGACGCGGCTCATCTGCCCCTAGACACAGAGAATAGGACTGCCCAGTCGCAGCACCTGGAGGCGCCATACTTTCGGCAGATGTCGGCCGCCTCCGAAGCCGCCTCGCCGACTCCTCGGCCACCTCCTCCTCCTCCTCCTCCTCATCTGCCTCAATTGCTATTTCCCCCACCACCGCTACCATCCTCGCCGGGTCTAAAGACCACCTGTAGCCAGCATATGCTGACGCGCGGCCCCACCGACACAACCACAGCCTTGTCAGCCACGCCTGTTTGGCGGCTACCGGCAGACGCATCTTCTGCCATGACCGGTCATCAGGGCCTCGGACCACGGCATCCTCAGTCCCAACAAATGGCCGCTAGCCAAACCACGGGACTCGGGCAATTCTGGCAATTCAAGCAGACGCCAGAAGTAATCCATGGGCTGGGTGTCATATCATCGGGATCCTCTTCATCGTCGTCGTCATCTTCTGCCATCACAGCCACTTCGGAGGCAATGCTCGGCTATAACCGACCAGGGTGGGTTTCATATTCGAGTAGTTGCCTTTTGATATGCGCTTACATAGTCCAACATTTAATGCGAAGACACGTGAACACTTGAAGCGTACAGGCTTGAAACAGTCAACGAAGTGAAGGCGTTTGAGGATGAAAGTGGAATTCTTATGCAAGTGTTAAAGATAATTACAAAAGCTACTTTAAATGAATATAAGTAATGCATATGAGATGTATTCAGCCTACTTCATTTAAGGTGATATGAGAACTAATAGTGGAATTTTCCTACAATCCAAGTACGAGTAGATCGTACAGCTCCATTGAAATTGACCCGCCTTGTTTTCCAAAAAGGTATTCTCTTCCAAGCTGGATGAAACTGCACTTTTGACCTCGTCCAACAAATAAATTAATGATTCATACTGAAATTTTGGAGCGTTTTTAGATGTGTAGTTGATATTAAGGCTTTTGAAATAAACGAAAAAAATACATTTGACAAATCAGATTTAAAACCTAGTAGGACATTTGGGAATTTGGGAATATGTATCGGCTCAAAGAGGAATGTAGATAGGATAAATGGAACGATAGAGCAAGTCATAAGCTGGTGAGGATATCAATGACATCATTACACTAACCTATTGAAGAGGCAGCATGCAAGGGCTTTAACTTCACTTGACCAAGCAGCAAGAACATTTGGAAGAATATCACGGAAAAACTTAAGCTTACTAATCAAAGCTATGAAGATCAGGATGCTGTGGACTTTTGTATGTTCACGGTCTCTTTTCGT